TGCGTTGGACAGTTCTTAACCCAATTTTAGTAGTTTCTGCAATCTCCTTAGATGTTTTCTCTGCTTGATGCATGCCAATGATTTGACCCTTCTCAAACAGACTAACATCTTTTCCACGACCACGGGATGTGTCTTTCGACATGGTTGTTTAGGAAATGAGAAGCAACTCATTGCACCAGTTGGGGTTAAATAACTTGTTGCCAGCTGAAAGATAATCGCCCATGCAATAATTATCCAATAGGAGGCTCGTACCTATTTGCTTAGTTAAATCCAGGTGGCGACTTTTTTTTTGGCCAGGCAGTGTAATTTTACCTCCATCAAATATTATATCATAAATGAAGCGTGCCTTTTACAGAACATCGGCTCATCTATCTGAACACAAACAGGTATTTTTAAAAGCAGCGCTTTTAAACTAAATTTCCGTCAAGACGAGTGTTTTGGCCCCATTTCAGAAAAAAATCCCCATCCTGATATGCCTGAAGCATATCACATTAAAAAATAACTTATAAAACTTTAAATAACATCCCGTTATAAACAAGGAGACTAATGATGAAGCAGAGAAACGTGGTCGCTGCTTACCAATAATACATTTGTTATTGAAACATTTATTACAGCACGTGTTCGTCTCTTTCTCTGTCACTGCAGTTCAATGTTTGTGTTTTCCAACATCACTTCTGTCAATGTACAGACTGCAAATCTGTTGTTGTCACCCAATAGGCACCTGTAGCAGAAGCATATCCACGTTTCACTGCTGTGTGTGTGTGTGTGTGTGTGTGTGTGTGTGCGTGCGTGTGCGTGTGCGTGTGCGTGCCGTAATTAATCGCAGGTGCTTACAATTACCAATTTAATGTACTGCACACTGGGATTGGTTCATGTAGCCTGTACAAGCTCTGGTCCACCCAGACAGTGGACCATGGTCCAGAAAAAGTGGCAAGACTCTGCCAGTTTGGCAAAAAGGCCCACCGTCACCCCCGAGGAGGAAAAGGTTCCGTCAATCATTGGCCACACAGCCTCCCAAGGCATCACGGGGGGCATTGATGTCCAGGGACCGTCCACCTCCCAGTCCCCTGCCAAGGGGGGTTTCACTCCACAGTCCTCTGGCGAAGGCGTGCCCCGACCCCGCCTTGCCACCCCGAAGTTCCTCGTGCTCTGGCTCTCCCCCCGTTCCACACAACCTGTACTTGAGAGGCGCCCGCAGAGCCCCACATACGAGAGATGGGATGTCGCAGATGGTGATGCCTTTGGATCAGTTGACTCAATGCAACGATACGCTGTAACGCAGCCATAATCTCGTCTACAATGAAGCAAGCAGAGGCGACGCGCTTGATCGCCTTTATAACTGGTGCCGCCCGCTTGATTAGTTTCCAGCCGGCCTCATGAGACTTCAGTTTGATCAATTAGTCAAGTGTCTGTCAGATATTCAGTTTACAGTGGGAGGGTACAGCCTGTAGCCTCATCAGAAAAGACATATCCTCAATTAATTAGCTCCATTAAATAAATGAATGAATGAATAAATAAATAAACCCATATAATCATAATATTCAGTATTCAATATTATTTTTCATGAAGTTAATTATAAACTGACGATGTAATGTGTGTAAGGAGTCTAGATGTGAATTATAATGCAACTGTCCATTTAAAAAACATAATTTTGGCCTCATAGAGCTCAAACTGTGACAGGATGAACGGAGCGCATCACTAAGGGACAGCTTACGAGTGGTTCAGACTTCTTAAGATCTACCTGTCAGAAGACAGATCGTCACTAAGGAGACTCTGGGAAACAGCCTGAAGCTTAAGGGAGACCTTAAGATACAACTCAAGATGCACGTAGTGCTACGAAGGCTCTAGTCAGATGAATCTCTCTGATCTCGACTCTAACAATAAATTTATATTTGTTAATCAAAAAAAATATTTTAATATAAAATAACTGGACTTTTACATTTCTCTCTGCAGAACTGAGAATTAATTTATGAATAATATTTGAATATTTAATATTTAGACATTGATTTAAAATAAAATCATTTAAATAATCTGAACACAACTTTTTAAAACATTAATAAACATCAGGAAAAAAAATTAAAAATATTTGAATACTGATAATGTTTAAAATTACTGAACTTTTTTTAAAAAATATTTGTATGTTTATAAAAACTATAACAAAAACACAAATAAATAAAAATACAAAGTGTACTTAAATAAAAACCTTTAAAATACTTAATTAGAAAAACTTAGAATAATTAGAAGTGAAAAAAAAGTGGAAAAAAGTGAAAAATCAGTGGAATATTGATAAAACAGTATAAATCAATGTAAACAAATAAACAACAACAAATAAACAACAAGAAACTGACCTGTCTGTCAGGAGAGAGACCAGAAGCCGCCATGTATGAACTGCCGATGGTTTTTATCTTCTCCACTTCCTGGAAATAACATTCGTCCAACAGCTGACGGAGAACACAAATACTACGGTAAATACTACGATAAATACTAAGATGAATACTACAATAAATACTGCGATAAATACTATGATAAATACTACGGTAAATACTACGATGAATACTACAATAGATACTGCGATAAATACTACTATAAATACTACGGTAAATACGACGATGAATAGTACGATAACTACTACGGTGAATACCACAGTAAATATTAGGATAAATACTACGATGAATACTACAATAAATACTACTATAAATACTACGGTAAATACTACGATAAATACGACGATGAATAGTACGATAACTACTACGGTGAATACCACAGTAAATACTAGGATAAATACTATGGTAAATACTACAGTAAATACTACGATAAAAACTATGTTAAATACTACATTAAATACTATGGTAAACAGGACGTCTGCCATTTTAATTTTAATTTTTGCATTTTTTGTCCATTTCTAACGGTCATACTTCAACAAACTGCTCCCACAGATTTGATCCAATTCACTTCAGATTGGTGTGTACCATCTGAAGACATTTGTTCACAAACGAACCTTGTGAACGTGGCGAGGCGTTAAACTTCCATGTTTCACCATGAAACAGGAAGTAGTTTATAACTGCAGCATACATGATCCGATCTCAAACTTCACATGTTTAATAAGACTCCAGGCCCGATGACATCTACGTGCAATCGTGGTGATTGCGCCACCTTCTGGCAACAGGAAGTACGTCTTTTCAGACACCTATCTTTTGGTCTTCATGAAATGTGATCAAACAGTGAGGTCGACAACTGATTCACAGCAACATGACGTATAATTATTGTGTGCCGCAGCGCCACATAGTGGAGACAGGAAGTGGTACCACACCTAAAAGAGGTCATTGAAATTAACTGAAATGTTTCATTACTGTATGTGTGTATTTGTGTGTGTGTGTGTGTGTGTGTGTGTGTGTGTGTGTGAGAGACCTCATCGAAGGCGGTGATGATGTTGTTGAGGAGGCGGAGACACTCAACGTGCTGATGGACAACCTCCTTCTGTTGGTAGAAATCAGAGAAGCCAGGCAGAGAGGCGAACAGGACGCCGACGCGTTCGTATGACTGAGAGTACAGCTCCTGAAAACACACACACATACACACACACACACACACACACAGTCAACACCTGGACACACACCTGGGCACACCTGCGGACAGGTAGCAGGTACCTCGTCGTTGCGGTCTCTCTGCAGGAAGTGCTGAGCAACATGGGCGGGCAGGATGTTGAGCAGCAGACACTCGTTGTGCTCCCTCAGCTCCTTCATGTCTTCCACCTCCTTCCTCGCCTGAAGACGCCACAGGAAGTCCAGACGCGCCGTGGCCTCCAGCTACAAACGAAGAAGAAGAGTCGAGGAGGAGCACAGAAAAACAAAAAAAAACACTTATTGTTTCTCTACAGCCTCACCTTAAAATAAAAATATATAAACCCCGAATCCTTTGTTCGTATAATCCATGTTCCAACATTATTCAGTGCAGTTTTTTAACTCACTTTATTTTATACACACACATACTGGACAGGCACCAGTGGAACTAGTAGAACCAGTAGAACCAGTGGAACCAGTGGAATCATGGGAACCAGTGGAACCAGTAGAACTCACCTGTCTGCTGTTGTAGAGAACGGCCACCACAAACATCACCATAAGAACAACACAAATTCCCTTCCTGCACAGGTGATGAGACCTGAGAGACACAATGTGTTCACAAAGCGTCAGTACAAACAAACAACACTGTCATACCTTTTTGTGGTTAGCACAACATTGGCTAGCCATTATTAGCTAAGCAATTGTAGTTAGCTAACATTACCTTTTTGTTATTAGCTAAGCATAAGTAGTTAGCTAACACGGTTATTAGCTGAGCATTTTAAGTTAGCTAACATTGGCTAACTGTTATTAGCTGAGCATTTGTAGTTAGCCGGCATTGGCTAACTGTTACTACCTGAGCATTTGTAGTTAGCCAGCAATGGCCAACTGCTATTAGCTGAGCATTTTTAGTTAGCCAACATTGGCTAACTGTTATTAGCTGAGCATTTGTAGTTAGCCAAAATTGGCTAACTGTTATTACCTGAGCATTTGTACTTAGCCAGCAATGGCTAACTGCTATTAGCTGAGCATTTTTAGTTAGCCAACTTTGGCTAACTGTTATTAGCTGAACATTTGTAGTTACCTAATATTAGCTTATTGTTATTAGCTGAGCATTTGTAGTTCGCTAACATTGGCTAACTTTTATTAGCTGAGCATTTGTAGTTAGCTAACATTAGCTTATTGTTATTAGCCGACATTAGATAGCTACAAACTTTTTAAATTATTTATTTTGTTGCCATTAGCGTATCATGAATGTCTATAGCTTGCTAACTGTAGCTTAGCATCAGATTGGTTAGCACCTGTGTGTTTCTATCAGGTAGGTGTAGAGGGCGGCGGCCAGCAGGAGGACAGCCAACTTCAACATGCAACTCAGCCTGAGGAACACCGCACAAGTAACCATGGCAACCACACCGCTCAACACCATGTACTGTGACACACAGAGACAGGTTAGAGATTATAGTAACCATGGTAACCACCCTGCTCGGCACCTGATGACTCATCCAAACTGAGGAGATCTTTGTTTGTCTACGTGTTTACCTCTGGGTGTGTGCAGATGTTGATGTCAGGCCAGGTGGAAGGGGGCGGAGCCAACTGTGAGCCCCCGCTGTTCAAATGAGTTTCTGACGAATCACACCACAGCTGGAGGGAGTTAAATGAAACAAGGGAAGGAAAGAGGGAAGGAAGGAAGGAAGGAAGAGAGAGCACATTAGAAACAAGGAGAAACTGTTGGGCAACTCTGAAAGGCAACTTCAGACAATCTGATGGGCAACTTTTCTGAGAGTTGCTTTAAAGTAAATTGCTTCTTGTAGCCAGTCAACATTGTTGCCTTCCATTTGTCAGTTGCAGTTTTGGGGCAATTCTAAAAAGTGACTTCTCCCCAAAAGTTATGTCAACATTTTCTCTTTGATCTCTGCTGGACATGTTGCCAGGAAACAACCATCACTCTCAAATCAGGATAAACAGGGCAACTCTGACCAACAACTTTCACAGTGAAGTTGCTTAAAATGTTTAGGTACCTCTTCTGGGACTTTTGTTTGTCAACCTTCCAGTTGGGCAACTTTTCTGTGGATTGCCTTTACACAAACATCTTGTTTCCATTGTTGGATTTAATCAGGTCAACTTTTTGGGACAACTCGTAAAAGTGATGTCATAAAAGTTGTTTAATGCAGGGTTACTCGTGGTCCCTAAAGTCTCCAAAAGTAGATCAGGAGCCAGAGCCTTCAGCTATCAGGTTCCTCTCCTGTGGAATCATCTTCCTGTTACGGTCCGGGAGGCAGACACCGTCTCCACATTTAAGACTAGACTTAAGACTTTCCTCTTTGATAAAGCTTATAGTTAGTTGTTGTAAGCTACTGTCATTACCGTCTGTCCTGCATCTCTCTCTGTCTCTCTCTCTCTCTCTCTCTCTCTGTCTCATTGTGTCATACAGATTACTGTTAATTTATTATGCTGATCTGTTCTGTACGACATCTATTGCACGTCTGTCCATCCTGGAAGAGGGATCCCTCCTCAGTTGCTCTTCCTGAGGTTTCTACCGTTTTTTTTCCCCGTTAAAGGGTTTTTTGGGGAGTTTTTCCTGATCAGCTGTGAGGGTCATAAGGACAGAGGGATGTCGTATGCTGTAAAGCCCTGTGAGACAAATTGTGATTTGTGGTATTGGGCTTTATAAATAAAACTGAAATTGAAACACACTGTTGCCAGAATCAACAGGGAAACTTTTTGGGGAAATTCTGCGGACCAACTGTAACAGCAGGGTTAAAAAGTTGAAGCTGCAACAGAAGCTTCTGGTTGGCCACAAACTAGGCAACATCATAGTAGGGTCCAGAACCTCAGTTCCGTGACCATTTTCTGGCTAACATGTTTTGATGATTGATTTGACATCTATAGACCTTTTATAAAAAATTTAGCTCCCAGGTCTCTCCCAAAAATTCTGGGCTTTTTTGCTAGAGCGCCAAATCCAAGATGGCCACCAGCAGCCATCTTGAAAAATTAACTTTTGAACCAGAGCACCTAGAATCATGTATGAAGACACTTTTTCATATAAGTTGACCATGAAGATTTCAATTCTGACATCAGTTTGATGTAATGACATCAATTTGACCCAGAAATGCAAGATGGCTTCCATCCAGTAGTGTGAAAACTTAACTTTCGAATGTAAAGGTTTTTGTCAATGAAAATTATTATTATTATTATTATTATTATTATTATTATCCAACAGCAGCAAGGCAACATCCGTGTCTGCCCTCAGCCCAATTTCTTCCTTCAGGGCTCTCCACCGAGGAAAAGTGACGCCAATACAAATCCTTGTTTGCCTTCTCCGTCAGTCACTTTCCTTCTTTGCTAAAAGACCTTCAGCCGAACGTCCAGGCTTTTTCTTTATGGTAGGATCCACTTCTGAACCGTGTCTCGGCCGCTTCTCCGCCATGTTGCTTTCACTTTCTACCTGCGCTCTACCTCTTGCTATGAGACTCTCAGCTCTTCCTCCCCCTCCCTTTTTGTTGTGAGGTGAAACGCGGCATTTCCGTGCGCCAGCACGGGAATGTCGCCGGTCGACACGCAAACTAAAAATGATATATATTGAAAAATAAAATGATGTCATAAAGTCAAATTGATGTCATAATTGAAATCCTCATGGTCAACTTGTATGAAAAAATGTCTTCATACATGATTCTAGGTGCTCTGGTTCAAAAGTTAATTTTTCAAGATGGCTGCTGGCGGCCATCTTGGATTTGGCGCTCTAGCAAAAAAGCCCAGAATTTTTGGGAGGGACCTGGGAGCTAATTTTTTTATAAAAGGTCTATAGATGTCAAATCAATCATCAAAACATGTTAGCCAGAAAATGGTCACGGAACTGAGGTTCTGGACCCTACTATCAGTTAGTGAAGAGTCGTCGTAGTGAGTTAATAAAAAACTTTTACAGTTTGTTGCATCAACTTTGTTGCTTCAAACCAGCAACATCTGGTTCCTCTTGTTGCTCTCTCAGTTGACATGTTTTGGCAACATCAACATTTCCACCAACACAACATGAGGCTCACAATGTCTGACGTGGCGACCCCAAAGTTGACGGTGATGGCGGTAAGCGTAAGCAGCGTCCGGGCACTCTTGGTTTCGTGAACCCAGCAACAGAGCGACTGCAGAGGGGCGGGGCAATGCTTAAACTCCTCCCCCAGAGTCAGCAACAGAAGCAGGAAGTAAACGCTGCCGCCGACCACAAACTGAGCAATCATTGGACACAACCTGAGCAACAATGACAACAACAGTTACTCCATATTAATAGTGTCAGGGAAAAGGACAGCAGGACAGACATGTGGACAGACAGACGGAGGGACAGAGGGACATGTGGACAGACTTACCTGGGGGCAGGGATCAGCACCTGGACGGACATCAGCAGCAGCAGCAGGATGAAGGAACAAACCATGTTGGACTTGAAGAGTTCATCCCTCATGTGGGAGTACTGGGGGACAAACAGAGGACACTTCCTGGTCACATGACTGTTTGTTAAGTCAGCCCCGCCACCCACAGGAAGTGATGTCAGTACCTTTCCCTCCATGTGGGAGTCCTTGAACACCTGGGTGAAGGTGGTGATCTGCTCCTTTCTCATTCGCTCGCTGCTCCTCACCTCCATTGCCCGGAGAATCCTCTTGTTGACCTCTCGTGACCCGGACTGCTGCACTGCGATGTGATTGGGCAGCTGGGTCAATGAGCCGTTGGTGAAGGTGGCGAGGATCTACGGAGAACCACAGGGGACAAGACAAGGTCAGAATCCATTCCACATGTCCTACCTGTCCTCAGATGTGTCCATCGCCCTCACAAAGTTCATCCCCAGGCTGTCTCCAAATGGCAGCTCGGCGCTCCACGTCGTCATCTCGTCGTAACTTGGACGTCTCACTCTCGGTGGCTCTGCTTCCTCTCGAGCTGCTGGGCGGATCAGGTACGTGTCAATGTTGTGTTTCCGTAGAAACTCGTTTCGTTCCTGGCCGTGCCCCGCCTCCGTCTCATAGATCCCGCCAAGACAATCCAGAGTGGCCTGCGAGATGTGGACCTGCCTGAGAGGACGAGACAAGCGTGGGAGTCAAAGCGTCCACAGTGAAACGCTGAGATATCCCCCTCATCGTGACAGTCAGGACTAACAGATCAGTGGTTACATCACGTGTGTCTCACCCCGCCACGCCTGCCGCCTCCAGACTGTTGGCAATGTCCACGTCCCAGCTCCAAATGTCAAACTGCCACTTCTGAAGACCCAGAACCCCACAAAGGACCGACCCGGAGTGGACGCCGATCCTCATGTCCACTTCCTGCTGCAGCTCACGGCGAACGTACCTGAGAAACAACAGGTTATGACATGTCAGCATTGTCTCTGCGGAGCGTTGGGGGACAGATGGTGGATAAATATTTACCTCATGGTGTTGATCATACTGAGACCCATCTCCACGCAGCAGCGGGCGTGTCCCCGCTGAGGCTCGGGGACACCAGAGACGCAGTAATAACAGTCCCCCAGGATCTTAATACGGAGACACTGGTGCTCCTGGATGGACACCGAGACACACAGAGATGCTGTGTCATTAACAACCTTTAAACTGGAAGACAAACAAACATCAAACTGACTACTAAAGGTCAAACGTCAAACAGTGATGTCTGTGGTTGTCATGGCGACCTGACCTCAGCCAGCTGATCAAAGCGACCAAAGAGTTCGTTGAGAGTTCTGACAAGTTCTTGAGCGGAGAGGATCAATGACAGGGAGGTGAAGCCAATGATGTCAGCAAACAGGATGCTGCCAAGAGACAGGAAGTCAACACGTTCACATCGTTAAAGACAAAATAGACCTCAGGAAGCTTAGACACAGTCATTACCTGAGGGTTTCCTCAGGGTCCGACCCCCAGTCCTCTGTGTTTTCTGTTAAAGCTCAGACACAGTTATTACCTGAGGGGTTCCTCTGGGTTCTACCCTCAGTCCTCTGTGTTTTCTGTTAAAGATCAGACACAGTTATTACCTGAGGGGTTCCTCAGGGTTCTACCCTCAGTCCTCTGTGTTTTCTGTTAAAGGTCAGACACAGTTATTACCTGAGGGGTTCCTCAGGGTTCTACCCTCAGTCCTCTGTGTTTTCTGTTAAAGGTCAGACACAGTTATTACCTAAGGGGGTTCCTCAGGGTTCTACCCTCAGTCCTCTGTGTTTTCTGTTAAAGCTCAGACACAGTTATTACCGAAAGGGTTCCTCAGGGTTATACCCTCGGTCCTCTGTGTTTAATCGGTGTTCAGTAGAACAAACTGCAAACATGTTCTGACATTTGATGGTGAATGATTGTAGCGTGTGATTCTCTGACGGTGTGGGTTTATACCTGACGTCTTTGTAGTGGTGGATGTAGATCTTGTGGAACTGCTGAGGCAGCAGGTACTCGTCCATGGTAGCCATATCGGCAATCATCTCCAGAACCAGGAACCGAGGCAGGATGGACATCACCAGGCGCTCCTGGACCACACAACCAAGTTCTTTAACTACATTTACAGTGATGTGTCTGTGGTTCTACCTGTCTGTGGTTTCTACCTGTTGATTCCTCTTCCTGTCTGTGGTTTCTATCTGTCTGTGGTTCTACCTGTCGATGGTTCTGTCTGTGATTTCTGCCTGTTGATGCTTCTTCCTGTCTGTGGTTTCTACCTGTCTGTGGTTCTACCTGTTGATGGATCTACCTATCGATAGTTCTAACTGTAGATGGTTCTACCCGTGGATGGTTCTCCCTCTCTGTGGTTTCTACCTGTCTATGGTTCTACCTGTCAATTGTTCTCCTTGTTGGTGGTTCTACCTGTTGATGGCTCTACCTCTGTGCAGTTCTACCTGTCGATGGTTCTACCTGTCAATGGTGCTGTGTGTCGATGGTTCTACCTGTCTGTGGCTTTACCTGTCGATGGTTCTCCCGCTCCAGGCGGACCCGCCCCTCGATGCAGCGCCTGGTCTCGAGGAACGCCTGTCTCTGGGTGCGGTCCGACAGGTAGTGGATAAACAGACCAGCAGTGTTCATGGCGAGGTAGAGTAAGGCCTTGGATGACACCTGGACAGGCAGGACACGCCCACATGGGTCACATGACCTCACACACACACACACACATAGATACACACACACACACACACACACACACACACACAGAATCATGCTGAAGAACAGAAAGAAGGAGGAAGAAAGATCAGCGCAGACCTTTCTGACGAAGGTGTCATCGCCGTAGTGACGGCAGACATCCAGCAGCAGGTGCAAGGTGGACGTGGTTGTCCCGGCAGTAATGGACCAGAGGAGGGGGAGGGGCAGCAGGGTGTAGGTGGAGAACAACGAGAAGAAGACGTACCAGGAGTGGTCGCTCTCCGCCCAACTGAACACACCCACCAACACCTGGAGGGTCTGAGACATCCAGCTCACCACTGAGAGGTACCTGAGGGACAGATGGGGGGGACACACCTGAGACAACCAGGTAACCACTGACAGGTACCCAAAGGGGCAGACAGGGGGACACACACCTGAGACAACCAGCTCACCACTGACAGGTACCTGAGGGACAGATGGGGACACACACCTGAGACAACCAGCTCACCACTGACAGGTACCTTAGGGACAGATGGGGACACACACCTGAGACAACCAGCTCACCACTGACAGGTACCTTAGGGACAGATGGGGACACACACCTGAGACAACCAGCTCACCACTGACAGGTACCTTAGGGACAGATGGGGACACACACCTGAGACAACCAGCT